TTGAGCTCTGAGCAACAGCGGTTCGAGTCAGCCCGAGCTGAGCAGCCGTGAGCTGCCAACAGGTGGCGGGATGGCTCAGCTAAAAAAAAAAAAAATCAGCAAACAGGGGCCCTTTTAGACCTGGATTTTTCTCCTTACTTAGCAATGGGTTAAACCAGGGTTTCCCAACCTTTGCACTGTAGATATTTGGGGCTGGTTCTGTTTTGGACGCATCCTGTGCACTGTTGGGTGTTGAGCAGCACCCTTGGCCACCAGGTTTTGATGCCATTTGATGCCAGGTGCACTCCCCCTGCCCCCAGTCACAACAACCACAAATGTCTCCAGACATCGGCTAGTGCCCCTTTGGGGTTGGGGGACATATTGCCCCTGACTGAGAACCACTGGGTTAAACCTGTTTAAATAGAATTAATAACTGGATTTGCCCATAAAATTAGCATGTTTTGCCCAGGAGCGTCAAGAGGTTCCTTTCGCCTACTGTACAGATGGGAAAACTGAGGCCAGGTGTCAGCCTCAGACCAGAATTGGAAGCTAACTCCATCCGGTGGGGACAGCCCCTCCGGAACCACGTGGCAACAGCAAACTGGGCTCGGTGACTGACTGCAGCGGGTGTCGTGTACTTTTCTGCCTCAGTCTCCCCAGTCTGTTGATTTCCCAAAGTGCCGACTTTCCCTGCCATCCCGTTGGGTCGCGAACCTTAACTCAGCGGCTGGCCCAGCGCTCACTAAGAGTCACAGGAGCGCCAATGTGGAGAGGGGCGGAGCGAGGCGGATGTGGGCGTGGCCTTGTGGGGATTGTAGTCCCGGACTCGCGGGGATTGTAGTCCCGGCCTCGCTTCCGCCCCGTGGAGACTCCGCCCCTGGAACTACGCTCCCGACGTGCCCCGCGGTGCCAGGCGAAGGCGGGGCCGGCGGGTTGCTAGGACTGTGAAACGCAGGGCTCACGCCCGTCTTCTCAGGTAAGCACGCGGACCCGGGGACTCGGGCTCTCGTGACCCAGGCTCCCGCGGAGAGCGGGCGAGGGCGGCGACAGGGATCTCGGCTTTGGGGGTCGCCGGCCGCAGGCTAGGGGCGAGGGGGCAGCCGGGCTAGGCTCGCGCACGCCTTGGGTGGGCCGGGGGAGCGTCGCGTGTGCGCGTGCGCGCGGAATGGCCGGGCCTGGGGACCCTGTTCCCCGCGCCATAGCCCCTCTACGCGAGCGTCCCAGAGGCCCGACTTGGAGATTCTGTGTGTCCATCTGATTCCTGGACTCTGCTGCCATAATCAGGGCCCAGGGCCTTGCATGGATTTTCTCACTTTCTGCTCAGGACAGCCCTGTCCGATGGTGATGGATTCCCATTTCACAGAGGGTGAAGCTGCAGTGGGGGTTAGGACAGGTGCCCAGAGGTCTGTCTAACCATCAGGAAGCGGCCAGGGCGGAGCCAGGACACAGCCAGGTCCAGGCTCTGGCCTTCCTAATCCAGGGAGAAGATAAGGTCTCCTGCCTGAGGTTTACATTGTTGCCTGCAGAGCCTGACCCAGCTCACTGAATAAGCACCATTTCCTTTGTTCCTCCCAGAGCCAGAGTCCATTCCTGCTGGGACCCCAGGCCCACTGCGCTCTGTGTGCTGCCCAGGAGTTCCAGCGCATATGTGTTTTCTGGTGGGGTACTGTGGGTGGTGGGTTGTCCTAAGCTGCCATGGGGACTTGCAGTTAGGGGTCCCTCCAGGGGCTGCTGATGCAGTTGAGCCTCTCTGGCCCTGGATAGTTGACGACCAGGGCAAAGGCACCACAACTATAAATGTGACCAGGTTGTCTAAGGAGGCCGTGGCTGCCCCCGGGGACCAGAGCACAGGCCTTTTCATGAGGCGGCCAGAGCTGTGGGCAGAGGGAAATGGATGCACCCAGGGAAGGGACTGAGCTGGGCAGGACCCTTGGAGAGCTCAGGGGGGAGGGTCGTGGGGGCAATCAGGTCGCCTGTAGCTGTGGGTTGCTTTAGGACTTTGAGGACAAAAAGAGGAACCCGGTGTTAGCAGCTGCCTCCAGCCACGCTTCAACTCCCCAGATGTATTTAAGTAAAATGTTTATGCACAGATTCTGTTTGCAGGTGGACTGGATCTCCCTTTGGGGGTGTTGGGGTCGGGTCGGGTGCTTGGGTGGGTCACCCTCTGCAGAACCTGTTTATTTCTCACTTGTAGAGTGGGCTTAGGACCCCTGCCTTGCAGAGGGGTTCAGAAGGCAGAGTCCAGGAGCTAGTGAGTGCCAGCCATGTGCCCTGGTCACCTCAGGGAGCCTCTTGTCCTATAGAAAGGGGACAGTCCCAGCATCTCTCTCCCCTGTTGTTGGGAGGAGTAGGGGAGCCCATTTGTAGAGCATTAGGACATGCGGTGTTACAGTAATGGCAGCTGTTCATCCAAGGCGCTGGGCTGATCTAGCGACTGACTGCCAGATGTCCTTACCCCTCTCCATTTTTCTTTCATAGCAGCTTTACTGAGTTACAGTTCATATACAATGTAGTCCACTCATTTAAAGCATACATTTTAGTGGGTTGTTTTTTGTTTTTAAGCAGCAGTAGTTTTATTGCAAAAGTTTAAAAGAAAAAAAGGCGCAAGAGAGAGGCTCGCCGCAGATCCACAGAGAGGGTAGACTCGAACCAAATGCCCCCCATTTTTATGGTTTTTTAGTATAGTCACAAGGTTATGAAACAGTTAATCACTGTCTAACTCCAGAACATTCCATCACCCCAAAAAGAAACTTCACCATTAGGAGTCACACATACCCCTCCCCCAGCCCCTGGCAACCACTAACCCACTTTCTGTCTCTGTGGATTTGCTTATTCTGAACATTTCATATAAATGGAATGGGCATTTCATGTAAATGGAATCACACACCGTGTGGCATTTTGTGTCTGTCTGCTTTCACTGAGTGTCATGTTTTCATGGTTCATCCATGTTGTATCAGGACTTTACTCCTTTTTTTAAGATTTTTATTGGGGAATTGGGGGATGGGACAGCGCTGGGGAATTGGGGAAGGGGAACAGAAAAGTTGCTGTCCTTTTGTTCTTCAGTCTAGTTGTGGAGGACGTTGCTTCACTGGCCCAAGTTGGCACCATCATTGCGCTCTTCCCAGGTGAGGC